GATTTGCTTCTCTTTGGAAGTGCTTTAGTTTGGCCTTCCAATTTGATTGTCAAAACTTAAGCATGATAAGGAATCACAGTGGTCAATGAAAAGGCGGGATATCGGAGAGGAACATCAGTGCCTGTTGTAACGTGCTCGTGGCATTTCTCGCCTTCTACTGGTAGTAACATGCGGGCATTTCTTTGGCCCTATAGACCCATGGTGAAGGTGAGGTGAGAGCCGTCCGGTTTTAAAGGGCTCTAGCAAGAAATGACCTGCTATGTTGGAAAATGGGCGGAAAGGGGAGAAGTTCGATAGGAAAAGGGAAGGGTGTGTTATGGGGTGAGGTTTTTACGTAAGGTCTGTGTGTTGAAGATAACATGACGGATAGGCCGGACAACCACATTTCTCCACCACATATGGTCTGAATTTGAGGGAACCCGAACTGTTCTGACAGTTGAAATTTAGGAAGGCTGCTAGGCACCCGTACATGCCCGGACATACGAGAAAGAAATGAGCTTCAATCTTATAGACAGCTTAATAATTTGTTTTTGATTCATTTATATGCATTGTAGACCGTAGCAATGCATAGTGGTTGTACTAGTAAGCTAAGCGGGCGACTGTTGGAAATAACTCATTTGGTACTACAAAATTATACGTACGCATCTTCCGGTAGAGGCGACCTGTGATGAGGTGACGGACAACGGCCAGTACAAGTACATTCGGCTTGATTATTGGTTTCTGAGATTACATTCCTCTTGTTTAGCAGATGAGGGAGAGTGGTTCCATTCCATCAAACCGCCCTTCGGGACCATTCAAAAGATAACACAAGTACAATTTGGCAGGGAATCAAACCGGATTAACAAAACGCGCAATCGATCTACTAGCTAGCTACCAAACATGTACTCTCACCCGGACACTATTCAACAGTTATGGCGCACACCAGCACAGGTACGCCGGCCATCGCCGGATTAAAAGACCGCTCCCGACCGGCCGGGGCCTCCAGCTTCTAGAAGCGCTACTCCTAAGTAAATTCTTGAGCTCTCACCATAAGACTTGCAGACAGCAATGCGCCAACATCATCTGGCGGCTACCTTAGCTGGGCAAAGCAGCGGTTTTTCAATTTCCGCTGGCCCAGGCCGGCCGTACTGCGGGCAAGGCAGGGGCACTCTGTTCTGACGCGGCCGCGGATGGAGCGCCGGTTGGCCCAAGAAAGGCGGCGAGTAATTGTTGGCGGCAAGCGGGTCTTTCCCGATGCAGCCAACCCGCGGCCTCCGCTGCTGTCGCCATTGTGATGAAGAGAACGGAATAATCTACGCAAGTAGTACTGGGCCTGAGATCGGGCTGTGCCGCCGTGGGTCACGGCGACGAACAGTCACCGAGCATGCTGACAAAACTGTTTGCTTTTTTTTTGTTTTGCGTGTAGACTTTTCTATTTTTTTATGAGTAAAAGAGCTTTATTGCTAACTAATCAGGTATACAATCACGATACAACGTGTTCGTTAGGAATACTTGAATGCAATTAAGCCATAAGCATCTCCCCCTAACACCTGTCGCCTGCGTCGCACATAAGTGAGCCGCCTCATTAGCGTCTCTTCGTGCGAATATTAGCCTAAAACTCTAAGTGTGCACTCAGCTCTTTAATCTCATGAAGGACACCAGCAATCTCAGCATGATCAAAATCTTTTGCTTCCACAGCTTTATGATTGCTTGAGCGTTACTCTCAACGACAACTCTATGGAAGCCTCTTTCCAGGGCCATTCGCACCCCATCTCGAATCGCCTCCACTTTCATTGCCATCGAGCTTGCTGCAAACTCATACCAGAGGCCTGTGCATGTAGGAGATTGCCAAAACTATCACGGATCACCAGCCCGGAAGATCCTTGATTCATATTCTCATCAAAGGAGGCATCAACATTCACCTTGATCACTCCATTTTCAGGTGGTGACCATTTAGCTTTCACCTTCGACGCCTTAACTATGGTTTCTTTTCCTGCCACAACCAAATGCATCATTGTATCAGTAACCCATTTGACAGATTGCGCTATGGTATGTCCAGTCTCCGCATGTTTTCTTGCGTTTCGCTTAGTCCATATTGCCCACGCACCACAACAAATAATGCAAGCATCTGCGTGAGAAACCTTGGTTCCATCAACAAGATCAAGTGTCCATGAGTGGGGATGAAGTTTGGGAATTTTAATGACAGTTAGACTTTTCATCTCGTCCCAGAACCTCCGAGCCCAAGTGTAATAAAAAATTGCATGCATCGAAGTTTCAGGCTGCCCACAACTTTCACAGAAATCAATTTTCTCCATATGTCTATGCTTCAGCACTGCACGACAGGGAATGAAATCATGACAAATACGCCACCAGAAATTCTTAACCTTCGGAGGAACTTCAAGTCGCCACATTTTCTTCCATGCTTTTGCTTGACTACTGTTGGAACTCGGCTGGATTCTTTGATGACATTTAGCTACTAGCTCTCTGTATGCTGACCGTACTGTGAAATTCCCATTCTTTTTAAAGTGCCACGCCCATGAGTCCCCAGTGAAGCGACTGAGGGTGATCTTGTAGATTGCACTCATATCAGGTTCAACAAAATGTAATTTTATCACATTGACATCCCATTCCCCACTGTCTTCATTTGTCAGTTCTTGTACTCTGTTCACGGCTGCACCTGAGAGCTTCACAATAGGTTTGAAACCATAATTAGATGGAATCCATGGATCATCCCAAGGACGAATAGAAGAGCCATCTCCAACCCTCTTCACCAATCTTAGTTTTAGTGCCTCTCTACCATGGAGTATTTCCCTCCAAATATGTGATGACCCTCTCTTGTTCTTGGCTAACATAAAGTCATGATCATGAAAATACTTACCCTTAAGAACTCTAGCACACAACGATTCCGGTATGGTAATCAACCTCCAGCCCTGTTTTGCAAGCATAACCTGATTGAACATTTCAAAATCCCTAAAGCCCATGCCTCCATCTCCTTTTGGTATAGCTACATCTCTCCATTTTTTTTTCCAATGTAGCTTCCTTCGGTTTTCATTTCCACCCCAGAAGAATCGAACAACTATATCAATCAACTTCTTACATAGTTTTTTGGACAACCTGAAACAACTCATGGAATATGTGGGAATTGCCTGACAAGCCGCTTTGATCAAAATTTCCCTTGTCGCGGTGCTTGAAAGTTTGGGAACGTACCCATTTACTAGTTTGCGGATACTAGTGGCAATGTGTTCAAATTGAACATCGGATGAGCATGGCCGTTGGCAGCCCCAAATACTTCTCAACTAGAGCTTCCGTCTCAATCTCAGTTTGCTCAGGACCACCGCTTTCATCTCGGCGGAACAATTGGCACTAAATAATACGGCAGACTTCGCCCGGTTCACCATTTGGCCTGAAGCTCGTCGATAGACCTCCAACGTGTTATGCAATTTGGTAGCTACCTCAAAAGAGGCCCATGTAAAGACCAGACAATCATCTGCAAACAACAAGTGTGACACCCATGGAGCATGTATTCCAACTCTAACACCACGGGATAGCTGGTCCGGGCCACGGAATTTCAACAAATTGCTCATCTTCTGCACATATGAGAAATAGAAACGGTGAGATGGGATCAGCCTGCCTGATGGCTTTGGTAGGTCTGAAAGATTCTAAGAATTTCCCATTAACTCGAATTGAAAAGGACACAGTCTGAACGCATACCATTACCCGGTCAATCCACTCAGCAGCAAACCCAAATTTCTCCATCATCGCACGCAAGTATGCCCATTCCACCCTATCATACGCCTTAGCCATATCAAGCTTCACTGCCATACCTCCAGACTTTCCCTTCTTTTTCTTAAGATAATGGATGTACTTTTCTGTTTGCTTTGGCGGTCGAATCGCAGAACACGGTGCAGTGCAAGTGGGCGGGAACTGCAAGCCGACGATTCAGTCTTTCTTCTTTACGAGAAAACTTTCGATCATCTTCAATCAGACAGTACACTTAACGTCAGAAATAATAAAAATTATATTTAGATCCGTAGACCACCTAGCGACGACTACAAGTACTAAAGCGAGCCAAAGACGTGTCGCTTTCATCGCCCTCCCTCGCCGGCGTCGGGCAAAACTTGTTGTAGTATACAGTGGGGAAGTCATCGTGCTAAGGCCTCATAGGACCAGCGCAACACTACATCAACCGCCGCCGATAAAGAGTAGCATAGATTGAAATGATCCAACCTGAAGACACACGAAGGTAGACAAACTACGACCAAAATCGAGCAAATTCACCAAGGACAGATCCGTCGAAGACACACCCCACACACCCACCGACGATGCTAGACACAACACCAAGGCGAGGGTTAGGCGGAAAGAAAATTATTCCCAACTTCACAGAGCCGCCGCCATCTCGTCTTCCAGAGCAAAACACAAACCCTAATAATACTCGAAGGGACATCCAAAAACAGAACCCTCCCACCGGCAAGGGTTAGGATCCACCGTGCCGCCATGGTCCTAGGGCCGTTGGAGAACAGGCGGAACGACGGTGGAGTCGACGGGAGACAAAGGAACCCTAGACTTTTCTTCACCGTCGACGGGAGGCAGAGGAACCATAAACTTTTCTTAGGGAAGAAGGCGTTTATTTCATCTATGCTTGTAAACGATCTTGCCTTTTTTTTCTATGGAGCTTGACGAATCAGTATATATATTAGGAAGAACAAATCTTAGTAGGAGCAATCCTTGCACATATAGGAATAAGTTCTTCAATTCAAAATGATACAAACTCGCTTGATGCATACGTGACTGTGCTACTTCGCACACATAATACAGGTGTGTATCCCGTGGACATAGATAAACGACTAGAGAAGCTATGTATAGCACACTAGGATACTTTCTCATAATGCTGGAATCGGTAACAGTAGGTACGGTGGTGGCACATGGGTGGGTTACGTGCTGATCTAACGGCCGGGGTGGTTGCGATGCATGCATTGGACGTACGACTGCCGGGCACCCCGATCCACATGCATGCACATGCATCAGAGCGACATCTTCCGGGGCTTGACGGTGGCCAGCAGAGGCTGGTTCATCACCACCGTGAACTCCACCTTATCCTTGAAGTCGACCGCCGGCTGCGACGGGTGCGCGCGCCACTCGAACTCCTGCAGCATCCGCGCCACCATGAGCGCGATGTGCGTCGTCCCCATGGCCAAGCCCGGGCAGATCCGCCGCCCCGCCCCGAACGGTATCATCCGGATGCCCGCGGACCCTGTCATGTCCGCGGTCTCGCCGCCGGTTAGGAACCTATCCGGGTCGAACTCCGTCGGCCGGTCCCACAGCTTGGGGTCCTCCGAGATGGTCGGGAGGAAGATGTCCAGGTTCGCGTCCGTGGGCACGTCGTAGCCGGCGAGCTTGCTCCCAGGCTTGACGGCGGCGTGGGTGAGCGAAAAGTAGGTGGGCGGGTGCTTCCGGAGGAGCTCCTTGACGAAGGCCTGGAGGTAGGGCATGCTCTCGATGTCCTTGTCGTCGATTGCCCGGGCGTGGCCGACTTGCTGCATGATCTCCTCGTGGAGCCGGACCTGGATGGACGGGTTGTCCACGATGCGCGCCATGGCCCACTCAATGGCGGTGGCCGTGGTGTCGGTGCCACCGTTGATCAGCTCCGCGCAGAGCGTGACCAGCTCCTCGTCTGCGCCTTGGCGGCCCTCGATGTGGAGGTCCAGCAGCGAGTCGAGGTACGAGAAGGGCGCGGCGACGTTGGGATCTGGCGGCGAGCTCTGCATGTCGCGGAGGATGGCGCGGCGGCGGTTGATGAGCGGGAGGAGCGTGTCGACCTGCTCGCGGCGAACGGCGAGCGCCCGGCGCTGCTTCCGCCAGAAGAAGGGGCGGAGGAACGGGAGGTAGTCATCCATGCGCACGCCGACGGCGAGCAGCACGCGCTTCAGGACGGCGTCGATGTGCACGATGTGCTCCTCGTCCAGGTCGAGCAGGCCGAAGGTCATATCGAGCAGGATGCAGAACACCGCGAAGCGCGCGTTGCGGAGCACCCACACGGAGGCCCCGTCGGCGGACGCAGCGGCGTCGGCGCGCATGCGTGCCACGAAGCGGTCCATGGCTCGAAGCCTCGCCGGGCGGAACTCCCGGAGACGCGACGTGCTCAGCATCCCGGACACCATGTTCCGACGCAACGACCGCCACTCGGGGCCGTACACCGCGGAGTTGACGGTGAACTTGTTGGAGGAGAAGATGTTGCGCGTGGTGTTCTCGGCGGGGCGGCTGGCGAACTCGGCGCCCTTCTCGACGAGCGCCTCGTGCACGAGCTCGGCGCTGCTGATGACGACGAGCGTGCGCACGCCCATCCGCAGCGTCAGGATGGGTCCGTACTCACGCCGCAGGTCGCGGATGTAGTGGATGAAGAGCTTCCCGGAGAAGGCGACCTGGAAGAGGTTCCCGACGATGGGCCACCCGGGCGGGCCGGGTGGGAGCCTCAGCCCCCGGTACTTCCGGTTGTACCTCGCCACAGCGACGGCCACCACTATGGCCGCGGTGGCCACGGCGGCCGTGAAGGCTAGGCTCATCATGGAGTCCCCAGGCATTGCGCCGAGAAGGTTGGCAGTGGCACGCGCCGGTTGTTGCTGTTGTCGTTGCATGGACATGGGCGCGATAAATGAAGTGCTGTACGAGATGGAGAGGCGTAGTGCGTGGCTATGAGTAGTAGATTTGAGTTTGTAGCAGATATTATAGGGAGAGAAGAGGCCTAGTGCGTGGCCGGAGAGAGGACCCGAGTAAATGCGAGGTGGCAAATCTCGTTGGAGAATTCAATGACCTCATGAGGCGATTGGGCGCCTAGCTAGCTTGACTCGAGGAGACTCAGTTGCTCGGTGCCGCGTCGCGATGCTGCAGTGCTCAGTTGCTCACACATGCACTCAACTTCCTCCGTTCATAAATATAAAATCACTTTAGCTAAATGCAGGTCGCCTGAATTTCAAGTTTCGGTCACTCAATTTTTGTTGCCGTTGATTGCTGCTCCAAGATTCCTTTCGGTTTTACATTTCTGTTGTGTGTTCTGTCCTATTTTTTTTGAACAGTTTTGCTAAAGCACATCTAGATGTGTCATAAATATCGCACATCTAAATTTTATGTCATTGATCTTACGTCAAGATTCGTGTAGATATTTTTTTTCTTTTTTTCTTTATATTTGATTCACTCACTTAGATGTGCAATAACTAAAGCACATCTAGATGTGCACTAGACACACCTTTTTTGAATTTGGGCTTGCATTGTTTGACTTACTCGGTTTTGTGGGGCAGGAGATGTTAATGGGCTTGTAGCCCGTTACTTGTGGCCCTGTTGTCATCTGTTATTCCATCCCACACCGGCAGTTTCTGTCCATTTTTATCTTTCTTTGCTTTGTTTTATCACTTCCCACTTTGATTTTCATGGGAAAACCATAAGGTTTATGTAGGTTACTTTCTGCTTTGTTTTTATCATTCCTATGAGATTTTCATAGCTTAGTAATTTCTGTACTTTTGATTTAGTCAGTAAACTCTTTTGTAGCTGGCATTGTCTAAGCTTTGCATATATTAATCCCTATACTAGATGTCCAACTTGTGCAGGGAGGAACAAACTATTTTAGGCTTGGGCAAAGAGACCCAAGATGATGTCAGCCCTCTTTTGAATTCAAATTTCATTTATTCTGATTTTGCTTTAGTTATTATTTCATTTTCTTTCTTTTTGAAGTGTAGTATCAATGCTACTAATTCACTCTTCATTATAAAAATTCATTCATTTTTGTTTTTTTAGTTCTTTTTTTCAAGGTAATAGCAGTGCCACTAATTTATTATTTTTTACATTTTTTTGGTGAAAAATCCACTATTATATGTTCATACCTGTATATTATAAAAATGCGCAATTTTTGAGTAAACTGTGTGCAAATTTTGTCACTGGTTGGTTTAATTCTTTTATATTTTCTTTATTTTTGAAGTGTAATACCAATGTACTAATACAATTTTCTTAGAAAATGTACCCACGTAAGCTACAATACGTGTGTAAATTATACTAGAGTGTGAAGTTTAAACTATTATACGTTCATTCTTTTCGTATTTCAAAAGGTGCAATTTTAGTGCAAGGTTGTGCATAAGTTTTTGTTGTTCTTATTTTTAGTTTCTTTCTTCTGAAAAGGTAATCAGTGACACAAATTCATTTGTCCTTATAAAACCTCGCTAGTTGGATTTTGTTTTGATTTATTTTTCATTTTATTTCTTCTTTAAGGGTACTACCAATGCCACTAATTCATTCTACCTTATAAAACTTCATTATATTTGATTTTGATATAAAAAGGTGTAATTTCTATGTAAATTGTGTGCAAATGTTGTCAATATTTGATTTAATTTCTTATAGTTATTTTCTTTTTAAGGGTAATATCAATGCCACTAAAAAAATCCTTCTTAGACAACATTTTTTGTATTTTTTTACTATTATATGCTTATTCTTGCATATTATGGAAAAACACAATTTTCTATGTAAATTATGTGCAAGTTTTGTCCCTATTAGTTTATTTTCTATACTTCTTTCTTCTTTAAGGTAATAGCAATATGTCTAATTCATTATTCAGTAGAAAACATTTATTATTTTAAATTGTTTAGTTTTATTCCTTCTTTAAGGTAATATTAATGCCACTAATTTTTTTCCTTTGTAAAACTTCATTATATTGATTTTGTTTTAGTTTTAATTCAATTTATTTCTTCTTTGAGGGTATTAACATTGCCACTAATTCATTCCTCTTAGAAAACTTATTTTTCAAAAATGCCACAATTATATGTTTATACTTGCATATTATAAAAGTGTGCAATTTCTGTGTAAACTGTGTGCAAATTTTCTCATTAATTGTTTCAGGATTTTTACATTTTATTTCTTATTGAAGGTTAATACCGGTGTCACTACTTCATTGTTTCTAAGAAAATGTATACACATAAGTACTATACAATATGTGTATAAATTGTACCAGAATGCAAAGATTGCACTATTATATGCTTATCATTTTTGTATTACAAAGGTGCAATTGTAATGCAAGGTTGTGTGCGAGTTTTCCATTTTTATTTTCTTTCTTCATCGAGGGTAATAGTAATGCCACTAATTCATTCTTCCTTGTAATACTTCGTTATCTCTTTTTTAGAGGTAATACCAACAACATTAATTCATTGTTCCTTATAAAAATTTATGATTTTGATTTTTTTAGTTTTTAGTAAATTTTCTTTTTTTATTTAAGCGTAATACCAATGCCACTAGCTCATACCTTTTTAGAAATCTTCATTTTTGTGAAACTTTCACCGTTATATGCTTATTCTTGCATATTATAAAAAATATGTAAGTTCTGTCATTATTTGATTTAATTTCTTATATTTTTAAGGGTAATACCAATGCCACTAATTCATTCTTTCCTAGGAAAATTCTTATTCGTAAATATTACACTATTATGTGCTTATTCTTGCACATTATAAAAGACACAATTTTGTGTGTGTTCAAATTCTTGATGGAGAACGAAGCATGAAAATCAAAAAAAAGATTCTACAAATACCTAAGATCTAATCTACGAGATGCATAGCAACGAGATGGAGTGTGTCTACAAACCCTTGTAGACCGAAAGCAAAAGCGTATACAACGCGGTTGATGTAGTCGTACTCTTTGCGACCTGATCGCGATCCAATCCGATCTAGCACCGAACGGACGGCACCTCCACGTTCAACACACGTGCGACTCGGTGACGTCTCCTCCTTCTTGATCCAACAAGCAAGAGAGGATAACTAGGTGGGATCTCAACCAACACGACGACATGGTGGGGATGGTGGTGGTGCAGTGCCGGCAGGGCTTCACAAAACGCTGCTGGAATCGATCTGAGGAGAAAACGGAGTTATGGCAAACGTACGGCTACAGCCGGGGCGTGGGAATTGGTGTGTCCAACCCCTCCCTCTCCCCCACTATATATAGGAGGCAAGGGGGAGGGTTGGGGCGCAGCCCTAGCCCCTCCTCCAAGGAGGGGGCATGGGCCTAGGGAGGTGTCCTCCCCAAGGCACCTAGGGGGTGCCTTCCCCCTTAGGACTCTTCCCCTTTTCCTTCACCAATGTACATATCCCAATACTACTCTAGCATCACCGAACGTTAAGCTTGCGGACCCTACGGGTTCGAGAATCATGTAGACATGACTGAGACACCTGTCCGGTCAATAACCAATGACGAGACCTGGATGTCCATATTGGTTCCTACATATTCCATGAAGAACTTTTATCGGTTGAACCACGATGTCGAGGATTCGGTTAATCCCGTATGCAATTCCCTTTGTCCAGTGATATGTTACTTGCCCGAGATTCGATCATCTGTATCTCCATACCTAGTTCAATATCATTACCGGCAAGTCTCTTTACTTGTTCCTTAATATAAGATCTCATGACTAACTCATTAACCACATTGCTTGCAAGCTCTTTACGATGTTGTATTACCGAGAGGGCCCATGGATATCATTCCGTCATAGGGAGTGACAAATCCCATTCTCGATGCATGCAACTCAACAGACACCTTTGGAGATACCTGTAGAGCACCTTTATGATCACCCAGTTACGAAGTGACGTTTGATAGCACACAAAGTATTCCTTCGTTATCCGGGAGTGACATGCTCTATGGTCTAAGGAACTGATACTTGACATGAAGAAAGCTATAGCCAGTAACTAAACGATCTGATGCTAAGTTTATTGTTGGGTCTTCTCCATCACACCATTCTCCTAATGATGTGATCCCGTTATCAAATGAAAACTCATGTCTATGGTTAGGAAATATTAACCATCTTTGATCAACGAGCTAGTCAAGTAGAGGCTCACTAGGGACACAATGTTGTTTATCTATCCACATGCATTTAAATTTCCGGTCAATACAATTCTAGCATGAATAACAAACATTTATCATGAATGGGAAATAGGATAATAACCAATTTATTATTGCCTCTAGGGCATTTTCCAACAGTCTCCCACTTGCACTAGAGTTAATAATCTATTTCACATCGCTATGTGATTAACACACAATGAGATCTGGGGTTTGATCATGTTTTGCTTATGAGAGAGGTTTTAGTCAACGGGTCTGCAATATTTAGATCACTGTGTACTTTGCATATCTCTATGTCATACTATAGATGCTGCTACCATGCTCCACTTGGAGCTATTATTCCAAATGACTGCTCCACTATACGTATCCGGCTTGCGACTCAGATTCATCCGGATCGGTGTCAAAGCTTGCATCGACGTAACCCTTTACGACGAACTCTTTATCACCTCCATAACCAAGAAACTTCTCCTTAGTCCTCTTTAGGTACCTAAGGATATTCTTGACCGCCGTCCAGTGATCTACTCTTGGATCACTTTGGTACCTCCCTACCAGGCTTATGGAAAGGCACACATCAGGTCTGGTACACAACATGGCATAGATTATAGATCCTATGGCTGAGGCATAGGGGATGACTTTCATCCTTTCTCTTTCTTCTGCCGTGGTCGGGATTTGAGTCTTACTCAACTTCACATCTTGCAACATAGTTAAGAAACCCTTCTTAGACTGGTCCATTTTGAACTTCTTCAAAATCTTGTCAAGGTATGTGCCTTGTGTAAGTCCTATC